GAATGCCTGATGTAATGATTATTAAATGTGGTTATGATTCCCTGATCTAACGGCTGAAGTAAAGAAGTTGTATTTGGTGGTAAGAACATTATTTTAAAATGTAGGTGATTTAAATTTTTTGGTAAACTTTGTGCCTTATCCAATATTAGTAAAACTTTAAAATCCAGATTTTTTTTGCTTTGTACAAAATGATTTCGAAACTATTTTATACCAAGTGTATAAAACATTTCTTAAATAAATCAGCAATTACCCAAGCTTTTTTATTTGTGATCCAATATACCAGTAAAGAGTCTTATTTAGATTTTTCACTACCAAGAATTGAGGGATTTATTAACTAGCATGGGTTTTACCATGTGATCTCCTAAAACATTAGTACACACAAGTAATGTTACACTATTTTTTGATGTTTTAAAACCTGGTTCAACTTTTCCTTTCTTGAAATAAATGTTCTCTTGTGCATTTTACCACCAAAGACTTGTCTCATCTGCATTAAAAAGCCTAGTGTGTTGTGTTTCTCCCTCATTCAATAATTTGTAATTCTGTTGGATATCTTTTTGCAGCTTTGTTATCAGCCAATGCACTTTTCCCTTGTATTTTTATGTTCTGTAATGTGTAGCATTTTTTAAAATGCTTAAATCAATCTTTACTAGCTACAAAGTCATAGTTGATACTGTTCTCCATTTTCTCTTAATTGTAAATTTTTAAAGATAGAAATCTTTAAAAATTTACAACTATTTATGGTTTAATAATAATGGGGTGTAGTGGGATCCATTTTTTTTAAACTCATCAGTCCAAATGTTAAGAGCTATTTCCATCTGTAGGATACACTGTTATAATTGCAGATATGAAACATTGTGCAGTAACAGAAGTGCTAATTTTCTGTTCATTTCTTTAAATTTAAATGAAGTAACAATTTGGACCATATAAAGTTTTTGCAACATATATTTTTTCTCCTTTCACAGTCAAAATTTGTATCTTTAAATCAATGAAATGCAATACTATTTATGAGGTACTTTTTATACCTATTAGACATAAATCAGGGCTACAGTTTAACTCAAAAAAGAAATAAGTTAATATTTTGTGTATCAATACATAATTGAAACACAGTAGTACCTCAAATTCAAATTTAATTCATTCCAGAAGGCTGTTCGACTACCAAATGAATTTTTTCCATAAGGAATAATTAGATTAATTATTAGATGAAATTAGATTAATCTGTTTCAGACACCCAAAAATACACTTAGATTCTAGTCACAAAGGGTATTTTTTAAATAAGGTCCATTTTTTGATAAGAAGAAAAATTCTGTAAATATCATTAAAATATATTTTTTCCCATATTCTACATACTTTTATCTACTTTTCTATGTAATTTCCATTTTTGTTCAAACATTTGTCATACCATTCAAAAATTTTTAAAATTCTGACTTCAAAGAAATCTGCTGCCTGCTGCTGGAAGACATTAGGCCAGTGTTTTTCAACCTTTTTCATTGAGTGGAACACCTAATTGAAAAATAACCAATTGTGACACCCTTGACCAGCAGCAGATCTAGAATCTGAATAAGGGGGGGCTGATGAGCCAGATGAATTTTTTGCGAAAACGAATATTACGTGCAATGCAAAAGTGTTTCTATGTGTTCAAAATCAAAATTTAAGTCCATTGAATTTTGTCGAAATACCTACATGTAAAATAATAGTCTCACTATTGTTTTTTAAATATAGTTTTATTATCAAATATATCATCATTTTATTGATAAACAATTTTTGTTAAGTTTTTTTTTATACTATTTTGATGCATATATAAAATAAATATTTCATTATTTTTTTCTTATCTTTTTCATATCAATTTAAAAAAGTTAAATTAAAAAAATGATAAAAAATTGTTTATTTGTCATCATTGCTTTTGAATACTATGAAAATACTGTAATATGCACCTACTTTGTGACCACACACTTTTCAAAGTAGAATGCAACGCTTTTTAAAGTATATACAAGACACAAGTGTCCACGTTGTTCTTCTCTGCTGGTTGGCCTGGTACTGGGACTGGGAATATGAAGGCCAAGCAATGTGGTTTGGGCGAACTCATGACAAGTCGTGCATACACGTAGCATAGAACATTACATTAGCATGCGATTAGTCATAGTTTCTTTGCTTACTAGATATCTCGTATCAAAATAGAACTGACAATGAGTTATCTTGAACTACACTTAAGTAAATTTCCAAGAAAATGCCTAAAGGCTCTAAACTTTGCGACACCCCGGTTGAAAAACACTGCATTAGGCCACACTGCTTGTCTTGTATGGCATGGTGGAGTTTTCTCAAGGTCACACAATAAGCATCAGAATCGATTGTTGTTCATCTTGGCATAAAATCCACTAAGAAAGTCTCTTTCCTGTCCCAAAAGGCAGTTACCATGATCTTTTGTGCTGAAATCGAATAACAGATCGTATCTTACAGTTGGTGGGCAACTCAATTTTCTTAAACATCATAAACTTCTACAGCTCAGCACACAGACAGACGATACGGCTGCAAATGGCATCTAAACACGTGCAAAGCATGCTGAAAGCAGATATTCTTGCACACTGCTGCAATCGGGCGTCATTCTCACTCTCATTCACAGACAGACCTTATTTAAAAAATAACTCTCGTAAAATGCTTTATAACACAAATTTAACAAGTTTACAAGCCTAACATACATAAATCATTAAAAAAGCCCAAAAACTACCCATATGCAATTGCAATACACAGTGGCAAAATATGCCTATTTTTATTGGGTTGAATAGAAAGTTTTATTCCAGAAGGTTCTAAAGAACTGACCCAGGGTGAGCTTGACGTAGGTCGTGGACGTAAGAGTCGTCTCCAGCTGTTGTTACTTAACATAGATGCACGATTTAATTATAACAGTTGGGAAATTTAACACATTATTGCTAGTGTAAGATTAAAATAAGTTTCTAAACAAACAATTCAAACTTTTTACTTCACATTTTGTTTGAATAAAATCAAGTTGAAATACTTTCAGATAAAAAGAATATCAGGCATATTTGTTTTTTGAGTTTCAGAAAGCATATAATGCTATACACACTGTGAAAGATATTCATAAGGTGCATGGAAAAGATACACCTAAACTTCAAACATGTCAGATGTGGTTAAAAGTTCCATTCAGAAAATTTTAAACTGAAGGATACAAATGTACAGGATGCCCAAAAGCTGTCAACAAAGAAAGATTGCAGAAATAAATTATTAAAACTGACTAATAACAAGTTGTAAACTTGCAACAGATTTCTTAATATGTCACAGACATGTATTATTAAAACACATTATTGACTTGGAATTGTTGCAAAACATGATGTTTGGGCTCCAAATGTATTAAATGGAAAAAAACAAAACTGGATCGAGTATAATTTTGTCTGATGAAAACAGGCAACTCTAGGATTTTGTTTTATTTTATTTTCCTGGCTCTGTTATATAGCTATCGGTCAAAAATGACCCCCCATGATTTTTATATTTTTGTACTTGGGTCCTTGAAATATTAAATGCAAAAGAATTTGGGGGTTTTTTCTATATGTATGGATGTTACTATGTGTGGGGGGCACAATTTCATTCACCCTCTTTGAAAATTAACAACTCATGTTTTTTTTGTCAAAAATTTCTAAAATTTTCCAGGGAGGTTTGAGTATTAGGGGGATTGATGCTATTAAATTTTAGTGGTTAAAGGTCAGTGGGGTGGGGAGATAAAGGAGGGTTATGTGTCACATCTTGAGTAGTGTCAGACTTAATGACTATTTTACTCATTATTACCATTTATAATTTTTTTTTATAAAGCCTACTCTCAAAATTAAGCCTTGTGCTATTTTATAATAATCAAAAATATAAAAAGTTTTTAAATAAAATATCATAACAGATGACAACACACAGTTTTAAATGTTGCTGGAAAAGTTAAAAATCCAGCAACGAGTTGTTTAAGTAAGTTATTTCTATCATAGAAAATTTTTTATGTATGACAAAATTAAATTAATCATAATTATTTTTATTTTAAAATTTGTTCTAGCAGGTCATGTTTGTTCAGTCAATTACTAAACAATTTTTTTCAAAAACTTGTGTTCAAATACCAAATTGTTTGAGTACTGAGGTACCACTGTATTTCATTCATCATTTTTACAAATGATTAATAACACAAAAATTAAACATTTTTAGGTATTTAGTTTGTCAGTGTGTTTTGTTATTATAGATTAATCTTAAAGGCTAAAGTCTGAAAGCAATGACAATGACACCTGGTTGATAGGAAAGCTAAGATAAAGTTATGATCAGTTTTCATTAAAATAAACCTGACAAAAAGCACAAAACAAATTGAAAATGTCAATATTCTAAAATCCATGGAAAAATTGGATGACAAGCATGTTTGCTTGAATTAAAAAAATATTGAATAACAGAATTTGCACTTAAAAATTGTGACTATTTGTACAGGGGATTTTCCAATTCCCAAACCATGTTGGATTGAAACCACGTTGTATAAATGCCATGTTGTACTAAGGATACCTATACTTGTTAATGTAACAAATATGAAGAATCCTGACATTGTGACTTATGTCTTAATGTATAACTAGAACATCATTATAATCTTTTAAGATAATGTTAATGTAAATAGCAATAATAATGTTATTAATGAGATTAGTGTTTGTAACAATGATAGTCTAAAAATTATATGATTTTTCTGTGTGCTATCCAGAAATTTTCTGGATATTTAAAACACTATAACATACTCTAACACAAACAAGAACATATATATTGTTTTATGAATTGTTAATAATCTTTTATTTTTGTTTTATTGTTGCTTTTTATTTTGTTGTTTATAAAAATGGTTATAACCAATTTTTTTCTTATAGCTAACATAAAATAACTAAAATGATTTAGAGATCTAATATATAATTTTAGAATTATACATGTAAATGTTTTTATTTTTTTTTTTATAAATTAAAACAATTATTTTAGAAATATTTTCACTTGTAAGCAAATAAAACAAAAGTACATTTCCAATATAACACACAGCAATTTACACTAATGAGAATGACTTTATTTACAATGATTGATACTATCAATAAAAGTATAAACAAATTACACATTCGTGCTCAGTGTGGCACATGAAAATACCCACACAAAATACCACAGTACCACAAAGGAGATATGTGCAAAGAGAACATTATCTCTTTGAAAAAGATAATCACCTGGCTGTTTAATACTATATTGGCTTTTTCATTTTCATTGATTTTACCTACCAGTTATAAACAGATATCAATTAATGAAATGTATTTTGGACAATTTTGAATCACATATAATAAGAGAAAAGTTTAAGATTCCACTGAGACTAATTGTTTGTTTGTTTCTTTGTAAGTATGATCTCTTGGCAAATTTTATCATGCAAGGAACACATTACCAGTTAATAAAACTGCAGATGGCTTATCTTAAATTGATAATGACATATGACAGAAAATTGTCATTTATGTGTTTATATCCTTCTCACTTTTCTATTTAAAACTAAATTCATTTGACAAAACATAATACTGATTATCACCAAGCTGTATAAGTTAAAAGGCACAAAATATTCCATATCTGGATTCTTTTGCTACTGCACTTTAATGACCTATCCCTTAATGATATAATACAAATATCTGGAAATTGAATAAGAGACATTTGTCTAAATGATGATATAAAATTTTTGAAAGCAAAATGTTGCAACTTGAATGACATTTGAACTTTTTTGTGCAAATTACGAAATATTCAAGATGCAACATTTGTACTTCATAATAAATAACACATGGAGGATTTAGAAGGAAGCTCTGATCTTGGAAGCTATTTCCATGATATTCTTATTAGCTATATTCATTCATTATAAATTATTCTTTATCATTCATGCAGTATTTAAAAAAGCTATTATTTTGCAAATTTTTATAGTATAGAATTTTCTCAGTTTCTCCACAAAGGCTTGAACATGTCCTTGACCGAAGATAAAATTCCCTTCTTCTCTTCCTGTTGCAATTGCGAATCACCTACTTGATTTGGGGGAACTTTGTTTTCAGATCCACCAAATGGTTGATATGCCCATAATTTTCCTTTTAGGTCAAGAGTTGTTGGTCTTTGTTTACCAGCGTTGTACAGTTCTTCCTGTGTCATAGTAACTTCTTTCTGAGGTGTGAATAGCCCTGTCAGGAAGTTGGTGGGTCCTTTCAAAGTTGTCTCTCTCATATCTTGGACGTTCGGGACCAAAGCGTCCTTTGTCTGAAGGGTCTTTGGACGGGGCTGATGTGGAGTAGATGGTGCTATTGGGGGTCCTCGCATATTGTATCTCCTCTCGTGACTCTACAGTTACAAAAAGAACACACCTTGGTTACATACAATAAAATACATAATCAGTACAGTGATGGTCTATATAACAAAATAAAAATAAAATAGTAATTTTTAAAATTAAGTTAACTACACAAATAAAATTAATACTTTACAAAAATTAATTTAAAAACTATTGATTGTATTAATTAATACAAATTGTATATTAGTTTTATTAATTTATCATGTTAAATTATTAAGATTTTACTTTATAAGTATGAAATTTTTGTAAAATTAGTATTTTAAATAAATAATAATAAAAAAAATGAAAACAGACCAATCACTGTACTAATAATTTTACAAATACAAAACAATTTATTGAATTATAACATTTTTACTAAACAAAATACAAAAGATGGATGTTACCATGATTACAGAGGGAGGGCGGAGCACACAGTAAGTAAAGTTCAGGTTTCTCAGGGTAGTACAAAGGATAAACACATCTTCATCCTCTATGAAATATATAGCTGGATGGGACAATACTAAATGACAAAACTAAAGGAAAGTGCTGTTAACATCTATGGATAGCAAGCAATTAGAAAGCAATAGTAATGCATAATTTATTTGCTATTTTTGAAGCATTCTAGTACCGTGCAGTTGATTACTATCATGCAGCGTTTTCAGTGGTTGGGTTTTAGAGACATTGTGCTATCAGAAAAAAGCATTCAGCATGCATGAAATTTGTATAGGTTTTGAACATATGTTTAGGAATGAACAACAACATTAAGGTTTGACGAAACATTTCTCCTGAGAAACTTGAGAGGGCCTGGAATGCTCCGCCCCTAACCTTTTGTCCGACTCACATTCCCCACACCAGGGGGACCCAGCTTCTCTCGTGTTCGAGTGTCACGGTAGTCAGGGGGTGCTTCTGTCAGGAAATTAGAGGGTACAAGTCCCCGAACACCATTCAGTTCGCCCATGAAGAACCCATCTTCATCCATCTCACCATAAACGTAGATGATGTCACCTGTGCTGAAGGCTAATTCCATCTAATAGTAGATGGTGATAAGAATAGGTGTCAAGATTGATTTTTTATACTTAGATATATTTTATATAGAGATTATATTTGGGGCCATTTTATTGTATGATAACTAATGTAATTATAGCTATTATTGTTTATTGTGCTTTTGTATCTTGCCATTCTTGTGATTTATTAGTTCTTGCTGAGCCTTCAGGTGAACATATAAGTCAGTGTTTATTAATTTTGATTAATTAATTATTTATTTATTTATTTATTTATATAATTATAAAATATAATAAATCAAGTAAAACTATATAATAATTAAGATTAAAAAAAAGTAGTTTGCATGCTAATTTAATACTCTATGCACCTGGAAGCTACAGAACTTCAATCACTAATAAAATCCTATCCTACTCATAATGCTACTACTATTAAATAATTTCATGCATTTAAAGCATCCCTTGGTTAGCACTGCTAAACAGTAATCTAACCATGCAGATGCTACTAATTGATAAAATTTTATTTAATTTAAAACGAAAAAAGGGGATTGTATAAAATATTATATATTTCATTTAACATTTACGATACCTCTGCATCAACATTTGGCGACAGTTCCTGTGGGTCATAGTCATATAAAGCCACCATCCTCCGTACTGGCATGCTGTTTCCCCACTGTTCGGTACCACGGTTACCTATCCACAAAACCCATCATTTGGAAAATATTTTATGCATTTTATGTATCAGGATAGAAATGTCACCATTTTGGACTTAAAAAAACTCTTATTTATATAAAATATCAAAAGTGAAATTTAATGAATTATATTTGATATTAAAAATATTTATGAATATTCACAAAAAAGGCAAGCTTTGAAAGCAAAGTTAATTATCAAATTATTAAAAATATATCTACTATTGATAGCAAAATTATTGGCTCCAAATGTATTGAAATATTTTATATATTTCTATGTTATAACTGTAAATAATAATTATTATAACAACAGCTTGAGAAAATTTTACAGATAATCACATATGTGTCAAATTAGGTTTGGTAATGAATTAATAATTTTCTGAATACTGTAGCATTTATCCAAAGTATCACTTATAAAGTGAATTTTTCTAGACATTTCATTTAATGTATAGAAAAATCCACTTTACTATTGTTATAATTTTGAAAGTATTAATGATATATTATGTTAAATAAAAATTTTATTAGGCTTTTATTAAGACAAGAAATTAATTATTTTTAAATATTACATTTGCTTACCACAATATTTTATTACAATGAAGTTTTTTTTTAAATAGTTTTAATTTCATACTCACTTTGACTGAATTATACTCAAAAATAAAAGATTTATACATTAATTATTAATTTTGTTCAGAGAAACTATATCAATATGCAAGAAAGAAATTTAAGAAACAATATTATACCTTGTGCAGCTATTGAATGATGTGTATGATGGGACCTGGAAGATACATTTTCATTTATTAATTGGTGTGACATATCTTCTTCTTCAACTTGAACTTCTGAAACCATATTGCATGGCACATAACCTATTTGTCCATTAGCTTCCCCTCTGTAAAATCCATCAGCATCTTTATCACCATAAATCTAAAATTGAAATGACCAATTATGAATATTCAGGAAGAAATTCTTTAAAAAATATAGATAAGTACCAGTAAAGTAATTTTTCCTACAGTTTTATTTCTAAAAGAAAAACTAATACACAAACTATATATTTGGATTTTGTATTAGTTTGAAATGTTAATAAAAAAATCTTTAATAATATAAGAATTCTATTATAAAATTATTTAAGAATTTAAATGTTATGTTTTCTTATTATTTAACAATTTTTTGAATATTTACTTAAAGGTTTAAAAAACTTTTGATATACACTCAAATCAAATTTAATTTTTGGATTAGATTTCATAAGACATGTATTAACAATGTTATGATTTCCTATATTTACATATTCCTTCAATAAATGAAATTTAAAATAAAAAATTATTGAAGCCAATAACAAATTTAAGAAGAATAGTATATACTAAAACAAAAAACAAGATCAGTGCCAAAGCCAGGTTATTTTACACCCTAGGCAAAGTTTACAAGTGTACCCCTTATTTCACAAGTTGGATATCTTTTAAAATGAAATTTTAAATATAAAAAATAATTATTTTGGCATGCTTTACATATTGTGTATTACTTTATTAATAATATATCATTATTCTAAAAATAGAACATTTTTTTATTCTCTGTTGTGATTCATTTATAAAAAAGTTATAAAATAACAAAATTAATATTTTAAAATGTTATTAATTAACTTAAAATGTTAAAAAATTAACATTTTAAGTTAATTAATAACTTAAAATGTTAATTTTAAGTAGTGGCAAGTTCAAATCCTTTAGGTAAGGAACAAAAAATAATCAAGAGTTAAATAGTAAAATAAGTTAGTGTGATGTGTGAAGGATAAGGAAAAGAATCAATACTTAAATCATATATCACTATTTAATTTAACATTTTTAGTGAAGTATGAATAAAGCATAGATGAAATTTTGCACCATAGGTAATTGCCTAGTTTGCCTAAATGGTAGCACTGCCCTGGATGTAATATGTAGATATATAAATTTATAAATCTATGAAATAATCATTAAATAATATGATTTAAAATTATATTTAATATAATTATCCTGTATAAGTTTTTAAAGCTTTCTGTAGAAAGTATTATTGTACTGGGCAAATCTCAAACCAAATCTGGTATACATAAAGTCTTGAGTGTGCAGTTTCAATTTTTGGAAAATAATTTACTTCAAAATTTAGCTGCTAGAAATGTTTTCTTACTATGCATATTATGTATGTTTTCTAACAAATTTCAGGAGTAAGAAATATACTGCAATAATTTTATTTCAATTACAGATTTAGAATTTAATACAGTAGAGTGCCATTTATCCGAAAGAATTCCAGTCGGCAAATTTAATTTTCGCTAGTGCTGTGGTACTGCAATCTTTGGCTATATCTTGGGCTACTCCAATATTTCTTTTGTTGATGTGTGTTTTAGCTGGCAGTACTGGCACTTTTGTGTGGTGTTTTTCTGAGGACCGTGTGTCTGTCATGCTGAATTGAACGTTTTTGATACTAGATTAACTTCTAAAGTATCATTTTTTTTTTGTTTTTATATTTTTCAATATATTTATTTTGTTTGTGAAAAATAAAGAAATAATTTTTAACGATACAATAGCCACGATTATTACATTAAAAAGTTTACATTAGGCTTAACATTGACGAAAATTCAACACAAAGCGACACGTAACGGAGAAAAATTTCAACATGGGATATTTTTTCGTACACAATCGGTTATCCGAAAAATAAGTTATCCAAACAACCCCAGTCCCCAATTGATTCGGATAAACGACGCTCTACTGTATTAACAATTAATCAAAACTGTAAAGTTATGGCTGTATATGACTTCATCTCCATGCTGTAAAAGTTGCATTCATGACATGACATAATTGATGGCAGAATGTAACTGGTCTGCATAGAATTGTCATACATGAATTTGTCTTTTAAAACAGCTAGATTGGAAAAATTTCTTTAATAAATAAAGCTCTTTAGGTAACCAGGAATAAACCTTTGTTAGGCTACATGGGTAAGCTGAAAAAATTCTGACTGGTATTTTTCCTCTTTTCCAGTCAGCACTAGACCTATTAGCTACATTCCAAGTGTAAAAGAGTAACAGTAGCCTAAGTTTACATGAAAGCAAAAATATATATTACCTATACTGCATATGGACACAATTTAGTTTAAGAGGCTAAGCCACCTCATCATTCCCATAGCTATGGTTCAGATCACAGGGTCTAGATCTGTGACCATGGCAGCTATAAAGTCAGAAATGGTCTGCTAATCACTATTGTTCAATAATTATTGTTGCAATAAGGTTTGCATGTTTATGCTAATATATATATGGGTGCACCATATTGCATAAAGGCAATGTGAGCACCAAGACCTATGAAAGAAGTTGAAATAATATTCTTCACATTTCTTTTTAAATTTGTTAGAAAACATACATAATATGCACATTTAGGGGATAGGAGTGACTGTATTAACAGGTCATTCTGTTAATGAGTGGGAACCACTGGTTTAGTGCATTTTCCAAAGTGTGTGCCACTATGTGAAGTACTTCTTGGATTGTAGTAGCCAAAGACTACAGTTAATTAATTAATTAATTAGGATGCCACGGCTTCCTCACAGGGGCAGCGTGAAATATTATAAAATGTTCATAATTTTACTTCCACTTTTAATTCAATGTGATAAGATGCGACATCTAGCAGACCTGATGCAAATGCATTGGTATCTGTACTTATGGTGCTCTTTAATTAAAAAAATATTGGCTATTTTACAAATTGTACTTATTAGAATTTGAGATAGGGCAACTTAGGAAAATCAGGATTTAGCAAGGGTGTCGAGAATCAAAAAAGTTTGGAAACCACTGCACTAAACAATTGAGGTAGAGCAAGACAGTTTTTTTAACACTTCTGAACTAACATTTATTTCAGCAGTTGAGTGTCCTCTCAGTACAAAAACTAAAAAACAGATTAACTTCAAAATTTAATCACCATCAAGTGTAAATTAAACTTCCCCAAAAATTGAAATCGTGTACTCGGGACAGTATGAAAATTGCCAAATAGTTCTTTCTACAGAGAGCTCTGAACACCTACTCTTTTATTATGACCACCCTGTACTATTGGAATAAGTATATTTAACAAACATAAAATTAATATATACTATTAAATCTAATTTTTGGCATATTCTGAGTGTCTCCTGGTAAGTCTAGGAGAGTTGGCAACTCTATTTACACAATAAAAATTTCCTAGCAGATTTTTCAAAAATCAAATTTAAAAAATAATGTTTAAAACTTAAAATGTTAAATTAGAATAATGATGTAAGAAATAGAGAAAATAAATTTTTTAATTATAATTTTAAAATTTTATCAAATTATTATTATAATTATAATTATTTCAAAAAATATTTAAATACTTACAGCAAATTCTTCAACATTTTCATTTTAAGAAATATCTAATTAAAATAACTTAGGCAAGCTTTCAACAGATATAATAGTCATTTTAAAGACAAATTAATTTACAATTTATAAAACTTTCTTTTATATAAAATATTTTAACACATGTAAATTGATTGTCTGTTTATTGCTTGTTATAAATTTATAAAGAATGATTTTTTTTCCAGTGTTAATTTTGTTAATTATTTAATAAAACTATACATTTAGTAAATGCTTGACTATTGTAATTTTATCTTTATCTTTAATGTGTAGTTACATGTAACTACATATTAAACATTTTAAAGATATACATATATTAAATATATTCCAAAAAGATTATAAAAATTCAATGGAGTCAGAAAATTTCTCTTTTGTTTTCTTCTTACATAAATGTAAAATTACGAAAAAATTTTACATTTATGTAAGAAGAAAACAAAAGAGTACATATATTAATTTGTGATTTACTTGCCTTAATGAGTTGCCCTTCTTGAAATGGAAGTTCCTCTTCAGCAGCATCTGGATTTGGAGACATAGTCATGGGATCATAATCAAACAATGCAACAAACCATCTAGCTCTGTTATCTGGAGGATAAGATCTTGTACTATATTCTGGATGTCGACCATGATAACCCATGCCTTCACGATAATCATTACCACGATAATCATCACTTCGTCGATGTGAAGCACTTCTTGGATTGTAGTAGCCATGTTCGTGTTCTGGTGGCATATGCCTCCTTGTAGTCATATCAGAATAGTAATGGCCATGCATTTTCGATTTGTGTGTTCTTGAATAATGAGTAGAACCCATACGACGGTCATGTCTGGCAAGTGAATCGTATTCTTCTTCTGAAAAATTTTCCAAAGAGTTGCAGCCTTCACTTGTTGTATCTTTAGTTATTTCTGTTACAAGTAATTTATTGAAAGAATAAAATTTTAATAAAATGTACAAAAATTAAAGCAAAAAGAAAATTAAATGGTATATAGTAAAATCTACTTATTGTAATCACTTTGTGTGACTTGACTATACTGATAATATTAAGTGGAGTAAGACTCATTAATAAAAATTCTGGTTTTATTGACTTTCATTAAAAGAACATGTTAAAAACAATTTTTTATTATTATTAATTAATAATAATTCATGCAGTATTGTCTGCTTATTGTTTTCTTGCAATACAGTCTTTAACAACAGCTACAGAGAGAGCTATTGATGTAAAAATTTCAGCAATTTAAATTACTGAACTAGTACTTATAAATGCTAAATGATAAGACTGATAACAATTGCAATGTTAAGGCAGATAGTGCAAATTTATCTGAATAAAATGATATTGATCTGAGTTTTGGTAATAGTTAAAAGTTAAGAAATGTTTTATAAACATTTTAACGTATATATTTAAGTCTTGTTAATTCTGATAAAATTGAATGACTGATTACAATAACCAGATTCCACTGTATACAAACAGAGTGATTCTCTATGGCTTAACAAATTTTATTACGGGATGTCAATAATGATTTTACAGGAGAGAAAGGGAAGGTTGACTAGGAATTAGTTTATAATTAATAAAATTCACTTTGAAATGAAAGGGACTGATGTTTCTTTAAATATTAAAAAACTTACAGTACAGTCTCAATTAGCTGATGTAAATGGGATCAAAAAATTTCATATATAGTAATTGAAAATGTTGGATAATATGGAGTTTGAGTAAAGCAAAATACCACAGATATTATATTTACAATATAAATTTATTTGAATAAAAAGTAATACAATATAAAATACTTATAAGTCTACAATTAAATTGCAATTAACATTGCAATTAAAGTTAAAAAATACAATAAATTACAGTAGAGCATTGATTATCTGACCCCCAATTAACCGTCACATTGGTTAACTAACTGTTCTAGTCGTCAAATTCAAATGTCCGCTAGTGATATGGCGATACAATATTTGGCTATGTGTATACTTTAATAGTATTTTTATGTGTTTTAGCTGGCAACATGGCTCGACCATGAAAGGGAGCCAGTATTTAAACGAGGCTTAATTTTCTAGTTTTTAACGATACAATAGCAACAATTATTATTTTTAAAAAATTTTTGTTAGGCTTAACATCATGAAAATGAAACGCGAAGTAGGTTAATAGCAATATACTAATTACATGAGATATACTAATATACTATACTAATAATGTAATTTTTCATATTTTTCGGTTATTCGTTTTTTTCAGTTATCCGACCAACCCCAGTCCCCAATTGAGTCGGATAATCGATGATCTACTGTATTTTAAAATATTCTTACCTTGTAATAAAATAAGTAAAAAACAAACAAATTATAGAATATTTATTTTTTTGTTATTGCATTAGAATTGCATTTGTATGTGTACTATCAGATTATTAAAGGTCAAATAATTGAGACTTTACTGTATTTTTTATATAAATTAAAAAAAAAAATTTGAAAAATTTAAGAGGTTAGTGATACTGAATATTAGCTTTTAAATGTGCAATATGCAGCAAACAGATTTCCTTTTTTAAATTTAGTAATAATTTAATGCATAGTAGTTATTGATATAGCTTTTAATTATTATTTTTATTAAGCCAGAACATACACCAGAGTGACATGACAAGTGATCTTGCATCTGACATGCCACTTCAAATGGAACCAATGGAAATGTGTGTGTCAATACCTATAGAAGTAACATGATGTAGGAGTGACACAACTTTTGCTATGTTAATGTCAGGCTCCACTTTTGTCGGGTGTTACTAACAACTTAGTTCAAAAGAAAATTGTTTTAATTTTCATTAAAGTCAAGTAACAAACTTAGTTTTCATTATAAGCATGAAAGATGAATGAATAAATTTTTCTTTACTGATTCAGTAAAATGATTGAAATTTTTCTGGATATGTATTTAACTCTTTAAACACATTGAAAGCATTATGTTTTTTTCAAATTTTCTTGCATAAAAAAAGGATGCATCCAAAAGTGTCATTTACCTCCATTATAACTAGTGTAATTAATAATAATCACTAAGTTTAATCATCATCATCAGAAGCAGCCATGGTTACGAAATGAATTGCTGCTAGATCATTCTGGTTTGCTTTGAGTCACACATGATTCTCATTACTTGTATGTCACTATCATGTTATTTCCAAGTTATTGCCAGATCACTTTCCATGTCTTTGGTATGCACTCTGTCTGATATTATGCAAAATATTTTTCTAGTCAATAGAAAAATATTACAACTGCAATGAACTGTAAAGATATTAAAATAATCAGTTTATGATTAAATATTGCAATATAATATGAGGAATAATTCAGGGAACAGTATGGAAAAACATATGTGGTTCCAGAGAAAGGTAATGAACAAAAGATATAATAGCATTAATATATGATATAAAATATTAAAGATATAATAGCATTAATTAGTTAATGCTATTATATATTTGTAAAATATCGTATTTCTACAATTCTAAGATACATATTTTTACCCATTTTTATTTGTCAAAAATAGAATTTATGGCAACTTACTTTTGCCATCTATATATTCTGAAAATTTGTTTGCAAATAATTCTTATAAAATAAATTAATATTTATTTTAGATCATTTATTTACTGTATATATTATGTTACTTTCATTTTTATAACATTTATTTTAATACTTACCTATAGATGGAATTGTCATATGAGTAGGTGGATATATTTCCTTATCACTTAAATTATCTTCAGGTTCAATAATGACTTGGCCTGAAGAATTTCTCCTTTCATTTAATAATCGATTGAATCTTCGTTTCTCATTGGCAGAGAGTAAAGTATCTTCCATCCTATACATATGTTCCCTCTGACTTCTTGGTGGTGAAGCTCTTTCTTGCAGTCTGTCTCTATTTCTGACATCAATAATTCTGGGTGATTGGCGTATCATTCTGGTATCTGTTCTGTCATGTGACATTTCTCTGTCCTGATCCAAGCCATTTTCATTAATAGAAAGTGATTTCTCTCGTTCCTGTAGTTTATATAGTAAGTGTTGTGTCATGTTATTTCAAAAGATGCATGAAGTGTAGAAGTGCCACATCACAGGCAAAATTATATATTTCTAATCATGCAACATGCACTACTTTAAAAATGCTTTAGTTTAGTAAAAATTCAACATTACTAAAACCTGTATAATTAAAGGATTTGTTTGGTAAGAGAAACTATCTAAATGGGATAAATAATAATTAATGCATTCTTCATACAAGAATGTAATATTTTTTGTTTATTTAAAAAAAAAATCACTTACTTTTTAAATTTTTAAACTTTGTGACTAATTACCAACATTTTATAATGAAATTACCGTTTGTGGAGGAATATTTGAAGAGTATTATTATTATAATTATTATTATTATTATAGGAATTTTCACTTTAAAATAAGACATACTGCACAAATACAAACAACAAATCACAACATAAATTCTTTCACTGCGATTTTCACAGTTACAGACCTCCAACCTTTCTCCCGCTTCATCTTCTATCTCCTCCACTATATCGGGCAGCTCTGACCTACTACCATCCTCTGCATGATCTTCTGTTAAGCCCTTCTAGTAAAAAAACGTAATGCTTTTGTGCATTTTATAGCCCTGCCATTATATTGCAGCTAATATGTCCTTTGATACAACAATCCATGCTTTATAAACTATATTAAACTGACTTTTACTACATAGGAGTATGTAAAATCATTACATGCTTAGGATTATGGCATATCTTCTAGGAACTACATATTATATATATATATCTAACTTCTACTAGCATGGTTACACAAAACAACACTAACTTTAATTGTGTACCAATATATTGAGACTACTTTAATAGCATTCATCTAAATAAAAAAATAGATCTATAACCAAGTACTAACAAAAATAGTGGTGCTAACTTGTGGAATAATTTAATCTACGGATTTTGTGTTCATGCAAAAGTTGTGCAAATGACAAAAGAAAATTCATGTTTGATGATGTAGTAAATTGTTTGTGGAATGAATGTTTAAAATTTATAATTTTAATTCTAATAAGTTGTTTTTATTTACTTAAAATTAGAAATATTTTATTATTAGATATTTTTAATTTTAATTTTTGGTATTGTAGTATTTTATTTATATAAAGTGTAGTATTTCAGGTAAAATTTTAATTTTCAAATTAAGTATTTGTTTACAATATTGTAGTAAATATTAAATTACTTATTAAAAAAGTTGTTTTAATAATTTAAAAATAGATACTGATAATAAAAAAAATATCATAAAGTTTTTTAAATTTAAGTATTTAATTACAATCATTTTAGAATAAATTTAAAATTATAAAAAAATACNACTGCCCCATATTTGGGTATTAGACACGTGAAGAAAATTCGGAATATTGCACGTGGCCAGAACGGAATGCGATTTTAAAAATTTTAAAATATCGTTTTCAGTTTGTTTACAAATAATTCAAATGTACAATTATAGACAATGAGACTGACAAACAGACAGACGAATGGAAATCAGACGAAGCGCAAACACGATAGAAATCGATTAAATCAACTCAATATTTGTTTGTAAAAGTAGATAAAACAACTCTCGAATTAAATAAGTTTTCTAAATGGAAAAACAACTTTTTTTTTGTTTTGTCTGCAGTATTTTAAATAAAAACATTCTAAAATTAAATTAATATGTTAATAAAAGATGATCCTTATAGAAAAGATAACTTTTACACGATATATTTCATAAACGATATTTTATCGTTAAATAATATTATTTGAATTTCTTGTATTTTTATCTATTTCCATTTTAGAATATGAGATTTAGCTCGAACTATTTATATTTTATGAATTGAATTCGATTAAAATAACCTTTTATTTAAACTAATTTGCATAAGCAGCATCCAAGTAAAAGTAATGCATTTGTGAAAAATGCTTTATATTATAATAGCGTATATGTATATACAGTATAAGTAGTACGTAGCCTAATAAAAAATTTATCATTATAATTCTGTATTCATGTTACATTACTTTATATTACTGATTTCTGATCAACCCTTTTCTAGATATGGGTCACTAGAGAACTTTGTATACTTCCATTAGGTCATATACATTTTTCTTGCAGAGTTGTAGGCTTTAAGCCTCCCAAGTACAACATATTCCATAACTGCCAACATACAAAGTACTAAAATAAAATATGATAACAACATACAAACTAGTAATATATAGTTCATTTTGATCTTTTTACTGGTCAAACTTAGTTTGAATGTTGTTTGTCACAAATATCAGCTTAATTAGGGTTGCATAATGTCATGAGGCAGAAAACAAAATCACATTGACACAGCCTGGGCATCAGGTTGCTAACTAATGACTGCTTTATATTATTTAAAAATTTGATATTTTTCTTTTTGAAATTAATAATTTATTTTTTGCAAATTTCCAATATTAGAATAAACTCTATAAAATATTCAAATATGCATTATATACATTGTATATTTTTATTCACTTATTCACTAACAAGTATTTTATTTATTTGACTAGCAATTTCAATTTTATCCATATCAATATGTATGTTTTTATGGTATAAGCATGTAAATTGTTCTGTAATATGTTGTATTGTACATTAAATACAGAAATAAGTTTGAAAGAATTTTTTTTTAGTATATGTTTTAATAATTTTTATAACTTATTTTCAGGTATTCTAGTTTTTCATTATAGACACAACTATTGGGAGAGGTTTACGACAGGCTTACGACCACCCAATTCACCTCAGGAATTCTACCTGTGACCCAAATGGAGATAAGTCAACGGGATCAAAAGCTTGAGCCCTGCGTGTCACATGGTTCAGAAGTTCAGCTAGCTCTGTGTCCGATTCAGAATCGGAACTAGAGCCTCGCCTCTCACGTTTGCTTCGTTCCTCATTCTTGTTAGCGAATACCATGCTCTGTACCGTTAACCAAGGAGGAAAAATGCATATTGGTATATAGAATAACGTATAACAAAATAGACTTTAAGTCTTTTACTTAGACATGCTTTTAAGTTGCTAAAATAATAAATTTTAAGAATTTCCCAGTTTTTAAACCTATATTAATATTTCAATTAAAACAAAATCAAATAAAAACTTTCTTAAATAACTAATATGTAATTTAAGTATTTATTATTAAACTGTGCCATAGTTTTTGAGATGCTACATTATAAATTCTGAGAATTCAAAATATAAATATATTTATATTTGTTTATAATTTTGTATAACTTTAAATTTAATAATTTATTTTAAAATAAATGAACATACATGCCAAAATAAATTACTTGTGAATACTGTAATCACTGCTGATATAGAATGTGAGATTTAACTCATGCAGTGAGAAGTTAGCAATAGCAGCAACTCAACTATAAATTAGCAAGAAGAGTGAATAATATCAGCCAGTGAATTATAATAATAATGTTAATGTTATTGTTTTAATGTTTTAACAAAAATAAAAAATTTAAATGCTTATATTTTTGTTTTTTTCAAGATATTAATAAAAATTATTTTAAAAGGAAATTTAAGCTGTCTTTTAATATGTTTTAAAAAATACATTTATTAGTCTGTAATATTAATCTTTCTTACCTTTGCATGTGCTCTAAGTAAATCTATTGGTATAACACAAGGCATGGAATCAGAAGACATGTTTTCCCCTGATTTTGTGCGTACAGTAACACTTTTACGGTCAAAAGGCTGTAAAATTGTCATATCTAATAATGCATGATCACCTAAATTATAATAGTAAAATAAATAACTAGAAGTTTTCTATATTAATGAAAATTGATGCTTTTATAATATAGTATTAATTTACCTGATGGGCTGTCTATTTCTGCTATTTTTTTCCCACCTGCAAAAACTGCATACCCAGTAACTGGAGCTGCATTTGTGGCACTTGTATTAACAATAACAGGAAGCCAAGTTACTAACAATGTTCCATCCTGAGGTCCAGCTTCTATTTGAATATTTAATGGGGGATCAGGAAGTCCTAAAAATATAAAAATGTAAATTTTAATTAATTAAAATTATAATTTGGCAAATAATTATATTGGTGGATTAAGTTTGGACTAGAATTTGACTAAATTAATATAATAAATACAACATAATCTAGACTAAAAAGTAGACAGTTAGGCTGTCATCACTAAACTTATTAATTACATTAATTTTGAATTAAATTTAAGAATTTAGACCATGATCAACTCTTGGCCTGCAAGATCCTGGTATGCATCTTAGTTGTATGTATATATTAGTTTAATAAAATTTACATTGCTCTACATCCAAATTTAATACTTTTGGAAACTTGTTATATATATATATATCATAAAAAATTTTTTCAATTAATCATCATTCTAAATCACTTTTGCATCACAGTTTTGGCTAATGTTGGAATTTGCAAAATAATAGGTACAATAATTTTTTTGTACAAAATTTAAGAATATTCTTTAGATAATGTGAATTCAGTGAGCTCAGATTTTTATTTTAAAATCACATTCACTAAACTCAGACATTATTTTTAAATCAATATGAGATATTTATAATAAATGTCATCATTAATATATTCATTAACTAAAAGCACTTGCTTAATACAAATTTTAATTATTGACTATCCAATTCATCTCAATAATATTCTTTGTAATAATCCATTCAATTACTATTCTCTGATAAGTTATAAAAATTTTGAAGAAAAATGTCTATAAATTCTATTAAAATAAATAATCAATAATAAAAAATATTTATCAATTAAAATGCACTAAATTTCTTTTTGTTTAATAAAACTATTTAAATGTTTTAAAATTAAAACTTAGGATTAAGATATTCATTCTTAATACAACTACATATTTCTGTAAAAAATTTGCAAGAAAATTTTTAATATAGAGATTCAGTCAAGTTTGATTTTTTACAGAAATATAAAATCGATTTTCTTTAACTTCTGTAATAAACAATAATACAGTAAGTGCAACTTATGCTGAGTTCTTAAATGCAATGTTTCAAGTATAGTTTGTACAGTACATCATTGGTACAATATTTATAGTGATAAAGTTAAAATTGGTTGTGAACTTACATTGTCTTTAGAAACATGTATCTTAATCACTATACATTATGACATGACCTGAACAAAACATCAAAGATTACACAGATTAGATGGTACAACTCAAAGAACTGATTTTTTTCAGTAGCTCAAACATAGGTATTTGCATGTCCCTAAAATCAATCACTATTGTAACATTAATTTAAGGAATGGCAGAATTCAGTTTGATGCGCTACCTGTTGGACAACACTGACTTTGGAAATTCGGCATTATTGTAATCACAGATATTGTTATCAGTTGTCTAATATTATGGAATCAATTTATTTTGATAAAATTTTATTTTATAAAATATTTTAATGGTCTTTTAAATCCAGAGTTATTTGCTCTTAGATAATACAATTTTCAAATTCCATTCCATTCAAGTTTATTAGAGTAATTTGGAAAAAATTCCAGTTACAAGTGGTACATTGGGTTACAAATATTAGTGAATATATAATATATATTCCGAAAATTAAATAATTATTAGGTAAATTATCTTCTATTCATACATTTAATCAAGTGACATAATATTGGATAGAAGTAAGAACAACAATAAAAGTAAATCTATAAATCATTCATTAAGGCTCTCAACCGTTTTAATATATTTAATAAAGAACTGATATATTCTGGTAATCATAATTGGACCCAGCTGAAATATTTTTTGGTAGAATTCTTGCATAGATTTGATGGCTGACAAGGTGGAAATACCAGTCTGTTCTCTAAGTTTGGAGCAACCCTTGCACAAACTAATTATATGATATACAGAAATTTGGTCATTACACAGCCTACATTGTTTATTCCTGATATCCAAATAATTCCCTTCAACTATAATACAAAAACTGTTTAGTCTGATCTGCATATAAAATCTTTTCATTCCAAATGGTATTTTATAATGAATATAATTATTTGCTGGAGGGAAATTTAAATTAACTATATACCATGGGTGAAATTTTGACTCCTGTAAATTTTTCATCTCACGATCAATTGAATTATTATACATATTCTCCACCAATAAAGAAATTCCATAATTCCAGTCTGTTTCTGCATTGTAAAATAGTAAATGAGACAAACCATAACTTTCCAATTTGATCCTAAGTTTGTTATACCAATTGTTTTGATAATTCTTTTTGCTCTCTGCCAAGTTCTTTAAAACTTTTAGTATTGTATTAACCTGTATGTTCTCACTAGTTAACAGTCTCTTAAGAAATTTCATGGTCCTAATTACCAAGTAGGGTTCTAATAACAATCTGTTAGTATCATGGCAAATCACATATCCCTGCACTGCTTTATGTAATCCGTAAATTTTTCTTATAAATAGCAATTGAATTTTTTCAAAGTAGGATAACCAGTCCAGACTCCATAATGGGAGAGCATAGCAAATAGAGTTGAAAACCAACGCTGAAAAGAGTCAAAACTGCATTTGAATAGAATTGGTTTTCATTTTTACTAATAAACTAATCAAATTATTAATTATTCTATATGCTTTGGTCTTCATCCGCTGAACATGTTTTCCAAAAGACAACGTTGAGGTAATAAGAACCCCCAAATATAATATTTCCTCAGTTACTTTCAACTTTTCGTTCAACAAATAAAAATCATGATCTTGCCTCGCCAGCTTACCTCCCTTTTGAAACACGATAATATGGGTCTTATTCAGGTTGATCTTCAATCCCATCTTCGAAAAGTATCTCTGAGTTACATTTAATTTTCTTTGTAGACCTATTTTAGTCGGTTAAATCAATACCACATCATCGGCGTATTGTATCGAATGAACTATCAAATTGTCCATAATAATAATCCCATCCTCCTTCATAAATTGATTATCTAAGTCATGGATCATAAAGTTGAATAAATAGGGTGATAACGGATTACCTTGTAGTAAGCCACCGCATATCTTGAATGGAGGGTAAGTATTTAGGCCACTTTTAATTGTAATAGTGTACTGACCAAACAAAGACCTTATTACCCTTGTAAATGTTAAGTCTGCTCCATGGTCTGCCAATTTATCACATAATTTATCTATAGAAATAGAGTCAAATGCTTTCTCTAGATCTAAAAAGACCACATATACCTTTCATCTTTTTTTAGCAAGGTGAATTTGTATGGTCGAAAGCAATATAAATATGGCCACTTCCGTCCCACTCTTCTTTATGAATGCAAATTGTGAGTTTGAAATTAAATCATTTTTCAAACCTATTCGCAAGAACTGATGTGAATATTTTTCTCAACATTGATAATATGGCAATAAGTCAATAATTCTTTGGATCAGTATTTTCACCCTGTTTAAATATCATACGAAAATAAGCAGAATGCCACAATTCGGATAAAAGAACATGGTTATAAATGTAATTAAAACTTGACGTTAAAGCTTCTATCATATTTATAGGTAAATGTTTTAAAAAACTAACTGGTATCAAATCCGGACCTACTGCTGTTGATTCTCTTAATGTTGTAATAATCTTAACTATTTCACATGCTACTATTGGCTGGTTCAACACCTTCTCTTTGTCTTGTTTAGTAGATAAATTTTTATCTTCAGGAATTGTTAAAGCACTCAACTCACGTTTCTCTAAAAAACCTATACCAGTTTTCAAAATCAATAGGATCCTGATTTTCCATCTCCTTTCTCGGGCAGTATTTTTATCACTGACCAAAAATATTTATTATTGTTTTTTTCTGTTAATAATTTTCTGTTCAATATATTGTAGTAACTTCTTTTCTTGGCCTTTATAAGGTTATTGTATGTTCTCTTTGCATTGATATATTCAGTTAATTGCTCCTTCGATCTAGTTTTATGAAATAAAGTTAAATAATATTCTAAGTTTCTTGGCTCTATAGCAACTCAATTCGAACCATTCCTGTTTGAACTTATTTTTCATTTTAATTGATTGTTGAATTCTTTGTGGACTTAGTTCTATAATATATTCATTACAAATATTAATCAATGTGGCATAAATTTGATCAGGCCTCACTTTTTCAATTAGGGCCCTTCTATCACCTATTTCAGCCTCAAACTTATTAGTATTGTATTTATATTTCTTTGTTTGTGTCAAAATTTCCTTACTTATTTTGTTTTTATAATTCAATACATTTGTTTTTATCATTAAGGTGACTGGAAAATGATCTGATAAATCGTTATCGAGTACTCTCAATTCAACACATTGGTCTAATACAGACTCAGTACAAATTATATAATCGATGACTGATGTGCCTACTGCCGAAATGAATGTGTGTCTACCAGGATAATCTTCTTTCATGCATCCATTTAAAATAAATAAATCACTCTTTTTCACCCAATTTATCAATAGCTTTCCTTTTTTGTTAATTTCATTATCATTGCTGTTTCTTAAATTATAAACCGTAGGATTAAACCCTGTATAATTAGAATCAAATTCATTGCCAATTCTGGCATTAAAATCACCCAGGATAATCCATGATGTTGTAAGGTGAGACCAATCTGAATAAATCTTCTCAATTTCTTCAATGGAGTGGTGTCTGATGGGACTCATATGGAGGAGAATAGTGAACCATAATTGCAATATAGCTATTGGGACTCCAATTTGTTTTAAAACCATTCACATTAACTATAGCAATTTTAAATTAACACTAGAATAAAAATAAATCCATTCTCCCAGATGTTTCTTCACCAATAACAACATTCCACCCTTTGGTCTTCCAACTCCCAGTTTTTTTGTAGCTGGGGCCGTTAAATAGTTAAATGTGGGTTGCAAGAATTCCATCTCTTTAGCAGTTAGTTCTGTAATCCAGGTTTCTTCCAAACCAATAATCTCGTATTGCTTCATTAATTTTTGGAAACAAGTAGAATATAATTTTTTTCTGAGTCCTTGAGTGTTGTAATTTATAATCTTAATTTTTGGTTCTTTATCTGGTTCTTTATAGATATACAATTTTCAAATTGCATATCTATAAATTTCCAGTAGCATCTGTCTATTCATCCCTCCATAATCTCAAGAATGGAGTTAGATACATGAAAGTTGAGATAAGATATGAAAGCTTAGGGGCAGGAGGCCCTGATTAACCATATAATTACTTCTGGTTTGGATTGGAAGTCACATTATTTCAATTCAAAAATTTTCTCCAGAATGATGTTAGCTAGATGAATGGCATGACTCTATCATTATCAGGAAAAGTATGATGTACTGTACAAGGGCAAGACACTTCTAAAATCAAGAACCCATATTTTACATTAAATAAATTAAATATATATGATTAAAAATTGCAGTCCAGCGTTATGATGATGGCAAAATGATTTTGTCATTTTTTATCTAGGCAATCTTTTCATCTATGTACTGTACCATAAATGCTATGTTTGATTTTAAATTTCTTTTATTTTGTGATTTTAGGTATTTTAAATTGGCATGTAAAAAAGAATCTTTATAATGAACACCGATGTTCAGTTTTATTGATTGTTTTGTTTGTTTTCTTATCATGTGTATTTTATTTTTTTATTGTTGTTGTTTATGGAATCAGTCAGTCATTCCTTGCCTTTTGTAATTTTTGTAAAACAGTAATAGGTCTGACGTCAGCCTATGTGTTAAGCTGAAACGATTTATCACTACATTAAAAACTTTTGCTGGAAAAGAAGTAAAGGCATTTATTTATTTTCTGGATAAGCTTTTTCCAGTTTTCTTGTAACTTTTTCATTATCAAGTATAGTTTTAACCTATATTTGCTGTTTGATTTTTATGTGTTTTTTAATGAAAAATTTTAAAGATACAGTATAACTAAGAAGACATAATGCTTTTCTTAGTTAAATTTTATGAAAAATTATCTGTTGTCATTCTTATATATTTTTCAATGAAATCAAAAATTTTTTAGAATTATAAATCCATGAAAATAATAATTGTTTTATTGTAAAACATAAAAATTTTGTTGAATTGAAACTATTTGTATATGCTGCTTAATCCAAAAATTATAAATATAATTAATCATTTATTTATTTTTCTACTTGTTTTATTCATATTTTTTATATTACCGGTATATGGAAATTAAAAGGATGTTCAATGTTTTGATAGTAAAGTGCTTAGTTTGAATCTAGTAATCTCTATTCAAATGTTTTTGTTTTGTTTGTACTAAAAAATGTTTCTTTATTAAAACTCATTAAAGCAAATATTAATAAAAATATTACAAATTTTTACCTTTAGGAAGAGTTTTAAAATCTACATATGTTGTCAGCATTTCTAATTTCCTTGGATTTTTTTCATCATTATAAAGAAGTCTACCTGGCTTTGCTCTTACGGAGACACGATATGTAGTATTTGGTGCAAGACCTGAATTAGTAAATTATTAATAATATCAAAATAATTATTAGTTTATAAACTTTTAAAAATTTCTTATTAAATTAACCCTAAGTTATTTTAGATAGAAATAAATCAAATCATAATATATTACTTTTCTTATTTCTAATGAACTTTTAAAAAAATTTAAAACGATAACATGTATTACAAAATTATTTGTTTTCGTTACCTTTTTTTTATCATTTAACTTCAATCTCAGATAAACCATTCATATTAAAATGTAGCTACAATAGTACATATTTTTATTCATAAAACTATTGTACCTATTAGCTGTATAATAAATGATGTAAAAAGTGTTGTTCTTATATACCATAAATCTCCAACCTACTTCTAAGGAGGGCCATATGGAGCCAGGTAGGAAAGATACAGTTAAAGATTAAGAATTTTTATTTCTGAATAACAATGAACATAAATCAATGTAAAATTTGCAACTTCTTTATTGACAGAATGTCAAGATACATTTCAGAGATACATTTTGTGACACAATAAAAAACTCTTTTTGGATATTCATTGGATGGTGATATTTGCTATTTTGATTTTATATACTGTATTTCATTTTCAAAATGGTTTATTTGCAAACATACATAGAAGCAAAAACTTCCTAAGACTTAAAATTCTCTTCTGGCAGAGATTTGTAAAAATTTAACAAATTCCCTTCCTTAAAAATTGTTTTAAAAATCATTTTCAAGCAAGATCTATTAATTCTAGCTAGTTCAAAGCATATAAACTTGAAAAATTAATTCAAATGTTGATGATAAAACATATTGGTGAAAATAAGCTGTGTAGGCCAGATAACTATGCTTCAGGGGCTTTAGATACCATAAGTAGCAGAACCCTGTTATATATGATTAAATTTACTAAAGTGTGAAGGCTTAAAAGTATTATCCTATAAATTTTTTATATTCATAATTTTTAACTCAAAACAGCCAAGGGCACCCACTTTATCTGAATTTTCTGTTATCTGAGTTAGCATTGGTCCACAATACCTTGGATAATCAGGGTTCTACTGTATATTAAATTTTGTTTTTATAGATTATTTCTTTAGTTAAAATTTATATATCCAATTTTAATAATCCAGATAGATAACTACAATGGTTATTTATTACTAACATTCTAAAATTAATAAGTACAGTATTAATAATTCAAATTCTCCATAAACTAAAATTAGTGAGAAATCTTATTTGAAATTTGCAAAATAATAGGTACAATAATTTTTTTGTACAAAATTTAAGAATATTCTGTAGATAATTCAGTATCAATTTTAAACAAACTATTGTATTTGAAATTTAAACTGTCAGCTTGTCAGATATATTTTGATAAGTTATTCTTGTAAAATATTTTTCTAAAGAAAAACAAAACAAATAGGTATTAGATATATGTTAAGGCTAATATTATTAAAAGATTTTTTTGTTAAATTTTTCAATAAATAGAATTATGATCAAAGTGATTAGAATACAGAAAATTACAAAAATTTAATTTGACGAAAGTTTATACAAATTAAATATTAATCAACATTTCCTCTGTTTTATTTGTTTAATGTTATATTTCAATTCATAATAAAATTTTTTCTCAGTTTACAGGAAATCTATTGTAAACAATAATCTTATAGATAAAATATTAAATATTTATGAAATAATTCTTCACTATATCAAATTTGTTTATCAGAATTGACTTGATTAAAAACAAAACAAAATTTAAGAAATTATATCATTCTGATATAAATATTCATAATAAAATTTATTGAAATTTTATATTGCTTAAATAATGATATATTTGATATGTTTTAAAATAGATAATTGTCATATCTAAGGTTTTAAACAATTCAGAATAATATAGAAAAATAAAAGTTGTTTTAAAAAATACTAAAAAAAATACCATTTTTCAATAAAGTGATAAATTATTTTTGAAAAGTATTGTAGAAATGTACCTAAAATGACTGTTCTTATAATTGATTGATAAAATAAATTTTAAAAATAATTGAATATGCATGAAATTATGCATAAATAGATTTTTAATAGTTACATGATATATTTTAAATAAATTAAGTTATAATTTATCAAATATTTTTATTAAGTGTTGCTTGATATTTATATAATAAAAAATATTTTTAAAATTGCTGTAATTATTAGTTAAAATACACCACTAAGTAATAAAAATTAATTTAATTAACATTATTTTTTATTTTACATGTTACACTTAATTAAAGCCTAGAAAAAGCAAAGCTGCAAAATATCTCATGATGAAAAACATATATCTGTCATAATTGATTAATTAACTTGATAGAATTTTATTTTGATAACAAATTATTACTGTCATTTTTAATAATAAATATTAAATTAAATTTTACAACTTTTCATGCATGACAAGTATATGAAATATTATGACAATATGATAACACTGTCAAATTTTACAATGTTTCATGATAAGCATGCTGAACACAGAACAGGATTCAAAGTTATTTGTTAAAATATTATTATTTAAAAATGAAAAACAATATAAGTTAATGATCAATTCTGAATATATTTCTTAAAATAAATTTTATTTGATGCTTTATTTTATTACAAACATGATGCAAAGTTTCACTTATTATTATTATTCAAAAAATAAAAGCATATTATTCATAATTATTATTATTGAATTTTATGAATTATTATAAGAAGAAATCTGATAAACTTTTATAAATGAACATTACATCTTAATTATTGATGGAATTTAGTTGATTGGTATAATTGAAAAATGCCCACATGGGGCGATATCGCCCCCATGTGGGCATTTTTCCATGTTGAGGGGGCGATTAGTAACAATTTATATTTTGGGGGGCAAAAAATAATTTTCTGGGCGATATAGTAAAACATTATATTAAGAATAATTGGATATTTTATTTGTTATATAGTACAATAATTAAACAAATAACATTATACTAGTCACTAGTCTATTCAATGCAGTACGAATTTGGCGTTAGCCTTTGCCCACGGCATAGGAATTTTGAAGTGAAGGGGGCGATACTACGTAATGGTTTTATTGAGGGGGCGATACTACGTTGAAGGGGGCGACGATTCGTTAGAGGTTGAGAAACACTGCCATATATAATGTATAATTTTCATATTTTGTCATTTTTAATGCCAAAACTAAAATAAGGAGCTTTACTTTTCAGAATTCAACTAGTTGAAAAGCTATAGAAATTGACATTATTATTTGAATTTGCTAATATTCTTTAAATTTTAGAAACTGAAAATCTTTCCAAAATTACACATAGCAAAACACAGGGCTGTCAAGAGGGGAGAGCTGAAGATTTTTCCCTGGGCCCAGAGTAAACCTAGAGGACCATAGTGATTCCTACTCCTATAAATTAATGTCATAAAGATTTTATTTTCTTGTAGATTTTCGTCTGATGGCGATATTATGATTAATTATTTGAAAACATAGTCCTTCCCAAAAAAAGAAACCACTATTTATTAGCCCTGTGTTCCAGACAATACATTCTTGGTGACTGACCTTCCTTTCTAGGCTACTAGCCACCAAAAAGTGCTTTAAAAACACAAGAATACGTCCAATTAAAAATATTGTCTGGAACACAGTGCTAATAAATAGTGGTTCATTTTTTTTGGGAAAAACTGTCTTCAAATAATGAATTTCATTTTCTGTTAATAAAAATTACTGCTGTTTATTAATAAAGAAACATTCCAAGTATGTCATTTGTTCAAAAAATAAAAGACTAAAGGAATCTGCTATGACCAGCTGTACTGATTGTACAATAATAGCAAAATAAGTCCAATCTATCCTAGATCTCATGCAAGTTCTCACAGCTCTAGCAAAACAATGTGGATCTTTTCTGAAGTTATTTTACTTAAAAATCTTCATCTTAGATGTTTTTATCATCTCATTTAGCATGTGAAAATTTTAATAAGTTATTCAATTGATGATTTCAAATACATCAATCAGATAATTGAAAGATTAGTTAGCATAATCAAATATCCTGCATAAAAAAGTTTACATACTCTTATTATAGTAACTATACAAAGTATTATGTAAAAGAAATTTAAGAGCTAAAAATTATATACCAATAACTAGTATATGCATGTGAAATTATCAATGAAAATATAAATCTCCAAGTGTAAAGATCTTTAGAGCATCTACAATAAGTATTGTTTCATGTACATCTCAATTTTATTAGACTGTTCTAAATTTTATTGAATATTTGATATTCTAACCTCATGTCTTTACAGAATTTAAAAAAGAAACATTGCATTTATATTCTTTTCATATGTTTATAATAGTGCAATAAATAGCTTCTTACATAAGTACTGGAATGCAAATAATTAACTCTTGTAAACCTTAAAAGTCCAGTATTGACACCTTATCGATTCCCACTGGCTTTACAAACCTGAAGAAGACTGGAGTACGGTCAAAAACGTTTGTTTTTCTGTTAAAGGTGTCAATACTGGACTTTTAAAGTCTACGAGAGTTAATTGTTTATAATAATGGTGTACACTATTATAAATTTACTATTAATTTTATAACCATAATTGCAAATAACATAAAGGATGGATATTTTTTCAATTTGGAGAAACCTACAAGGTTGGACATTTAAATCAGTTATAAATTTGATATTGAAGTCACATTTATATTGAGTTAATAGGTATTTACTTTTTGATTGCAACATTACACTGTATATATATTATTGTAGTGGCTCATTGGTCAGAGTTGATCATGGGATCAGTACATCTGGTCACCCTGGATCAGTGAGCTATTGTAAATTCCCTCTTCTCCCTCCTCACCAAAAGGCCTGCAAGGTGTATGCATTTTTGCTCCTATATAGTTGTTCTCATATCAAACAATTAAAAGCTTTGCTATTATTGATATCTTGTGTAATTTCTTTGGACAACCTCTGTAGTGGTCTCTGATACACTGCCACCACAATTATATATAAGCCTATAAATATCAATTTAAATCAACTAATCTCAGTCTATATG